CACTACAACTTCTATCCAACATCACCAACCAAGAACAAAGCCTGAGCATCAACAACTTGCCCTTCTTCTCCGGTCACATTGGGTAAGCGTTTTTAAAAGAAACAAGTAGCAAGAGAAATATGAGAATAATGTTGGTGACTTGCATTTGAGTAACTTTTCTACCTTCTCTACGGTGAGGATTTTAATACTGACGAGTCTTCAGCGGAATGTCAATGCTAGACTCGACTCTTTAGTTTCCAGCAAATAGTTTATCATAGACGAGAGAACATTATTCATGGCTTTGATTTCTTTAAAGAAGAGAACACCAAGGCTGCTTTGGTTTTAATTTAGAATAATACTACACTTACAAAGTCCTCATACAAAGATGTGTGTACAAAGTGAGGTGTCATACTATGATTGGGAGAGTGAATTTGTAAAGTCAACTTTTTAACTAAAGTCAAATTCATTGTCCAATCATAGTATGACACATCACTTTGTACATATATCTTTGTATGGGGACTTTGTAAATGTAGTATTACTATTTAATTTATTTTTAATTATGAACAAACAAAACTACGCATATACCCTTCATCATTTAACCAATTCCGTTTCCGTTTGTTAACTGGGGTCAACCGCTCAGGCTCAGCCGCTCAGGGGAGGTTGGCGCATATTTCGTAAAACCTCAGGGTGAGTGAAGTATTTTCCATACCTTTGAGGTCTTTTTAAGATACTTAAATCACAAGGGATGTTTCTGATAATAATCCTTAATATTAAATTTATCTGTAATCTAAATATCTAATATTGGGTTGGAGCAACTTATTAGTAGCCAATTTATATGCCACAAGCTCGTTAATGTTTGCTAGAAATGTAATTATATTTTGAGGGATCAAGTCCCCAAAGCGAAACAATCAAACATAATATTTGTCGCAAGCAAATTTTCTTATGCTTTTCAAATTGATGTACTCCAATGGACTGGTTAGTCACTGAATTTTGATTAACTTATTTGAAGGTAATACGATCTAGTTTAATTTTACAAATATGTTACTGGGTTTGAAATAACCACCCTGCTCCAAAGAACAGAATTAATGAACCTGGAACAGTTGGCTTTTTGTACCATTCTTGTTTTGTGTTTGTGGTGGTGTTTATAATTTTTCATATAATTTTAAATCCGGCCCAGCCTGGCTAGTTAAATAGGGGACCCGAGGCCTTAATCAGGCTAGGTTATCCATTTTTACTATTCATCAAAAACTCTAGAAATTAGGACAATGATCGACACACAATGACTGAGATGTTGGGGTTTTTTAAGAGGAAAGCTGGTGAGTGGAGTGATTTTCGATGAGTGAAACAACGAGAAATCCCAAAGATAAATCGTGAACAGTAACTAGCTATTTCTGGCAATTGGTGAGCCGAACGAGGGTAGGGTGAATGGGTTTTGATCAAAAGGCTAAGGGGAGATATTTTATGGTGATGGGTGTGTTGTCGACACTAGAAACAAGCCCTATTTGGCCTAGATTGTCAACGCCAGCTAGACTTGGCAAAACGGGTGGGTGGGCCGAGTTCGGGCTAGGTCTTCATGGGTACAGGTCCCGCAGTCCAAGTCATATATAGGTCCAAAATATTGGACCCATACCCTATCCTATGAAGGTACGGGTAGACCCGCGGGTACCCGTTTTTTCTCTCTCTAGGTTTTAAATTTCATTTCACCCCTAATAGTTTTCAATTATGATAGTTACGACCCCAAAATTCCTGCAGTTTACATTTAGCCCCCAAAATCAACTACTCTAAATTCAATTCAATTTAGAATATAAAAAAATAGGAATCAAAATAAACAAAAAACACATAAACAAACACAATAAGTCAATAACATATAATACAAAACTAAAAATACCTACCAAAATAAACAAATACATAATCACTAATAGTAATACAAATAAACAAACACAACAATCAAGTCAATAACATATAATACAAAATTACAAATACCAATTAAAATAAACAAATACCTTTTCTTTCTTTTTTGCTTTTTTTTTTTTTTAACGGGTACCCGCGGGCACCCGTAGGTTGACTCGTATAACCCTTTGAATATACGGGCCGGGTCGGGTACGAGTCCAATGTACCCTATATTTTTTACCTGGGTACGAGTCGACCAGCGGGTCTTGACCTGTTTTGCCAAGTCTAATGCCAGTGGTGTAATTAGGGGTATTTTTGCAAGATTTCAAACTTGTAGAAACTTATGGTAATTTTTGGGGGTGTTTTTGTTGGATTTTAAACTTTTTTACATGTAGATATCACCGGTTTGACCCACCGGTTTGACCTACCGATCAAACCAGTTTAACCGGTCAACCCATGACCAAGCTATTGTGTCGGGTGAAACCCCAAGCCCATTGTTTTAAAAATCGGACAGTTCATTAACCCGATCAGGGGGCCGGTTCACGGGTTAACTGGTCCAACCGATTGGACCGGTATATAGCAGTCACATCTTTAAACAATTCCATTAATTGTTATAAGTTTGAAAACCAACAAATACATCCCTAAAATTTACCTATAAACCCTTGTAAGTTTAAAATAAAGCAAATGCACCCTTAGATTTTATTATTAATTATTTTGTTCTCTCCCCATCACTTCCATCATTCACCTTTTTTTTTTTCTCTCCCCAATCCCATAGGCCATCACTCCCCGTCACTTTCTCATTTTTTTTTTCTCTCTCTCTCCCCATCACTCCCCGCCACTTTCTTCTTCTTTCTTCTTCTCTTTCTTCTTCATCTTTCTTCTTCCTCTACTGTAATTTTTCTCTCCTCTTCTCTTTATTCTTCCTTCTCTTTCTCTTCATCTCCTCTTTTCTTTCTTCTAATTTTCTTCCTTACTCTTTCTCTTGTCTCCTCTTCTCTTTCTTCTTCCTTCCTTACTCTTTTTCTTGTCTCCTCTTCTCTTTCTTCTTCCTTCCCCTCCCCTTACTTCTTCCTTACCAGTAGATTTTAGAGTAAGTGAAGAAGAATTGAAGATGAAAATGGAAGATACAATTTGGTTTTTTTATTCAAATGAAATGGAGAATAAAACGGTGCTGTAAATTGGTTTAGGAATTAAGAATATGAATTTTTTTGGATTAGATATGCAAAAATAGTAAACCGTTTTAAGCCCCAGGCCGATCGGATTTATGGTTTTGTATTGTTCCGACGGTCCATTACAGGTCCAAAACGGTTTTAATAACATTCTCGGTTTTATGTTAACCCAAACCGAAGTAAAGGCCAGTTCCCGTCGAACCGATCGGACCGGCCGGTCCGATCCGAGTTTTAAAACGAAGCCCAGGTTGGGTTTTAAATCCTTGGTTTGCCAAGCTCATAATGATAGAATATGAAGTGATACTACTACTGCTTCATATCATTTTTTCTGAATCTTCATTTCCATTCTTTCCTGCTGAGTGCAATACTTTGTATAATTTCAGCAGTAGCTATCGAAAGAGAAAAAGCTAGGGGTGGGATAATCCGGTTAACCAAACCGGTTTATCTAAACTGAAAACTGGACCGGTTTCGGTTAAAAACCGAATGTAAACCGAACCAAATTTTCGGTTTGGTTACCCGTTTTCAAATTATCCTTTAATCCTTAAAATTGCTTTACCTCTTACAGAACAAATACCCTTAAAAAGAATATACAAATACCCTTAAAAAGAATATGCAAACATTTTACTGCCATCAAATTCTTTTGCTTCCAATCTTACTAGTCCATTTTCTAATGAAGGCAAAAAGGAAACGAGCTACGATCATCATCATCCAAAGAAAACAGACCAAAAATGAAGTACAAACACAATGACATTATCAAAGAAACAAGAACATGCTTAATGAAGCAAGTACAATTAAAATTCCAGGTAAAACTTTCGCTGCAACAAACAGCAAACTTCTTGACACTTGAACAAAGAGCTATAAATACGACATTTTTGGTATAGATAACAAATGAGAGGAGCAAGAATGCGCCCAAAAACTAAAATTAACACACGAAAAAAGGGCTTCTAGGTTTCAAAATTAACAAGACAAATCAACCATTAGCCACAAAATAACTCAAAATACATAAGGGTATCTCATGTAAATAACAAAATAAACAAACAAAGTTCTAATCAAGAGTCTGCTCAGGGTGGGTCTGCTCACGGTGACGGTGGAGTCTCTTCAGGGTGGGTCTGCTCACACCTCAGGCTGGAGTCTGCTCATGGTGGCTTGACTGGAGAGTGATCTGTGGACTAGGAACGTGAAGCTTGCCAGATCTGAGCTTAGAGAGAAGAGTCTACTCACGGTGGGACAATGGCATGACTGCCTGACTGGAAGTGGAGTCTATTGGAGTGTTGGGTGTTGGCGAACGATGAACGTAGCTCATGATGACTGGACAGTAATGGAGTCAGCTCTGCTCAATAGCTCACAGTGTGGAACTGACGAACTATGGATGGAGTAGCTCACGCCTCACGGTGTGGACTGTGGATGGAGTAGCTCACTGTGGAAGACTGGAACTGCTAAACTGAAGTCTGGAACTTTGGAAGTGACGAACAGACGAAGTGTAGAGATTTGAAATTTTCAGATTTGGATGCGAAGAAAGACGAACTGTGAAGAGAAATAGAGCGAGGAGTGAAAAAAAAAAAAATTTTGCTTTTATATTTAGGGTAAAACCGGTTTAAAAACTAGTTTTCCGTTAATCAGTTTGAAATTTTTTTCAAACCGAACCGGTTTTCTGGTTTTTTAAATTTCACAAACCGAAAACCAAACCGGTTTGTAAAAAAACCTAATTTTCGGTTCGATTTCGGTTCGGTTACCATTTCGGTTCGGTTTTCGGATTATCTATCCCACCCCTAGAAAAAGCGGTAAAATCAGACATCAAAATATATATGCGACTATGCATTCAGATTAAAATCAAGTGACTTAATAATCAAAACTATAAAAAGAATGTTTACACATTTTGCCATTAATTTTGAAGCATTATATATTCCTATAAGATACTTAAAATTGAAAAATCAAGGTCATCTAAAAATAACAGACACAGAAAAAACAAAATGATGAAGGAAATATAACTCATTTATTCCTGCGGATTTATTGGCAATTACAAAAACAACACCCTCATAAGATACAGTTGATCGTAACACTGTACCACAAGTTTTCTTCTCAGAGAGAATATGTCCTCACGCATTTTAACTTATTGTTGAATGTGTAAACTCTACCAGTTGATATTTTTGCCGTCACAGTTGTTCCTCTATAATGTAACCTGAACGAATTTTGTTTCTTTGACCAAAGACCAACTTCCTGCAGGTCCCCTTCTTTCCAGCAGATGTTCACTGTCACCCCGCCACGCGCTTTCAATCCTTTCACACAGCCGCTCGCCCACTTGTCATGGGGAAGGGCAGGAAGTAAGTACAGATCCTTCACGGTACTCTGCACGAGCATCTCAGCAACTGCCGCTGAAAAACTGACAAAAGAGACGGCAGAATTAAAAACTATGCCCAGACCAACATTTTTTTACTTCACAGAAGTTTTTTTCAGAAAAGGGTTCATACATTCAAATTTGGTAATCTCGAAAATGTGAGAAGTACAAGTTTAAATCTAATAAACTTAAAAGAGTACTAAGGCAAAGGACTTCACAAACTCCCAAGGACTATTGTTTTGACTTCAATATTGCCCACTTGTCGTGGTAAGGCATTTTTATGTTGGATGTAGTGAATGTTAAGAAAAGAGAAATTCTACAAAATGTGTATACTTTTTTACAAGTGACTATTTTCTTTTCTTCATTCAGAGTAGTAAGAAATACAAATTATTTTACATTCAAGTGCAGCAGTCAATAAAAACCAACTGAAGCATATAATGATATGACTACTAGTTTCAGAGATTAGAGCCTACGATGTAAATGGGAAAACTACCACAAGCGTTTTATCATTATATTTGCCATTACACAGTTATACCTCATCCAACATGTACATCTCTGACATAAACTTCACAAGATGCATATAACATCTTCACCATCCTGTTCTTCAAACTTCCTTTTTATGACAATTAATTGTGATGTTTTACTTCTGAGTCAACTTGTTAATAAAGATAGCATTGTGGACTAGAACTGATCCTATGAAATTTAAAACTGATCAGTGTCACGAAATTTCATTGGCATAACACTAAAAGCTTCTGCTTACCCAAAGTTGGCATCTATCTGGAAAGGGGGATGTGCTGTGAACAAGTTACTGTATAGTCCTCCTTCAAAAGCACTTTCATGTTCGGGATCAACCAAATCAAACAAATGCTTCACCATGTGATATGCATGCTCACTGTTTCGAAGGCGTGCCCACAGAGCAATTTTCCATGTGGTTGACCATCCTGGACCATCCTCTCCTGCTCCAATTATGAAATGTAAATGTACCACTCAAGAGCATCATAGTTACCAAAGTCTGAAATCTAGTGAAATTCCAATTAAAAAATTAAATATGTATGTATGCATCAAGTGCAATAGATCATTCTCAAACATATCATATGGAAAGCCAAGATAAAAACAGGACATCAATTTTTCTTCTAAACATCCATCAATTGAAGCAGGCTGCGATTGTTTGATATAGGTGAATATCACATACAAACCTCTTTTAAATAGAGTAAAATCAGCTGCTTTACAGAGGTCCGGAGTTTTCTCAACAGTAATTGTGTGTCCTGGATACAGGCCAAACAGGTGTGATACATGTCGATGATGCACTTCTGGGTCCTCAAAATCCAGTGCCTTACATTAAAAAGGAATCTCTCAGCCCATAATAAATACAGCTTTATTTGACCTCTACTACATGGTAGAACATCAGACATCATAAAAGATTTCACAAAAATCTAGAAAAAAATTTCAAGCTACCCACTTACCCATTCCATAATGGAACCATCTCTAGCAATTTTTGTAGGCAAAAGCCTTGGTTGAGCATCACGAACCTTTTTAATGAGAGGATCCTCGCTCTTTCCAAGAATCTGTTTCCAATTAATTTTCAAGTGATTATTGATATAAGCTATATTTTGGCGGTTCTTTATTCATTTAGTATAAGAGCTTCACCTCTGCAGCATAAACAATTGCAGAAAAAACTTCTTTAATGATTGACATGTCCATTGTTGATGAGTAGCTCACACTAGCTTGCTTACCATCAGGAGCAATAAACATGTGTTCTGGAGACGTGGATGGGTTGGTTTCCAGAAATCCTCCAGGGCCATCAATCAACCAGTCCAACAGAAAGTGTGTACATCCTTCCAACAAAGGATATGCCTTATTTTTCAGAAAATCCTAATATAAAAAATATTAGAAATTGTTAAACTACTAGAAATTTTGAAACAGAAATAAAACTATAGAAAGTTCACAGCAAACGCGATTAACCTAAGTGATTTAGAGAAAGATACAGAATGGTGTTAACAAGCCCATAGTAAGCATATTCATGAACCTGGTGATCAGAAGTACCTTGGTACTTCCAGATCCAGAATTTCTTGGAGAGAGCCTTAGGCTGTGCCTCTATACCTGGAATGAGCTGAATAGAAGGATTCCTATTCTCTCCATTCCTAAATTAGTATTTCCATTCTCAATACCATATGTGGTCATCATAGTGAGAAAGTTCAGAGGATTCCCTTTCCCAAGTTTTCAATAATCAATAAATGGGACTAAACCAAAAATGAAAACAGAAATTGTAGAACACCCATTCTTACTTTCTATCCTTATTGGATATGAGTCACTGGTAATTATATATTGACACTGATGATTTACCCGTGATATGGATCTGTTACAAACTAAATTTAATGCATATAGTACAGATCATAAGTTTAATCTATAAACCAAGCTATACATAATATGGGAGAAGAATCAAGACACTTAAAAAGAGAAAACCCAATCTTTCTAAACAGTTGTATCACAATATTTTTTCTAATAGAGAAAATTATGTTGAGATGATGAATAAAGAGAAGATGTAGACTGAATTTCTTTAGAAAACACGAGATTCTACAGGGTATAATTTTCAAAATAATACAGAAAAGAATATATACTGAAGGTTTTATGATTGTCATTCATTACCTTTGCTTCAAAGAGGTTGCAATAATTATAATAGCCATGAGAATAAGAGAGGCAGAAAGATGATATTACTCATATTGAACTAAATATGCATCACTAGGTTAAAATATTTAAAGTGTTCTGATGATTGTGACGGTGCAATGGCAGAAGAGACAGGTAAAGATGGGAGTAACTTTTAAATAGACGATAGTCAATAAATTAAATGAACACTGGATGTAAATAAGAAACCGTTGGTCTAGCTGAAAAGTGTGGTCACATACAACTATTATTTACAGATAATAACTTCATGCTTTTCGATTTCACGTCTTCCATAGTTCATAAAATCAGTATATCCATTTTTTTATATCCTATCATGAAAGTATGGTCTGACCTACGAGGGAGAACTCAATTGTGAGAGTTTATCAAACTCTGTATAACAGATTTCAAGCAAAAACTTATCCTAAGCAAGAAACAGACTATCTAAAAAAAATCAGGAGCTTACTTTGTCCATTGTGTACATGTAATGCTCCCACAGATGGGTGCAAATCCATGCTCCCCCCATTGGCCATAAAGCCCAAACAGCCTCACCTCGATCTGGTGATGTTTTCGCCCATATGTCAGAAACTTGATGAACTACCCAACCACTACACTCATAGTTCACCTGCAAAATTCATTCAACCTGATTAAGAAAAATCCGTGTGCAAAGGATACAAAAAAAATTCTTGAAAAGATAAATGATATTTATCCACAAAAACACAACGATCATGAAGGCCAACCAGGCTCTAGGTTGAAATTGTGAATTATGGTGGTCTAGGCTTTATGATGCTTTCACTATATGCTACTAGCAAGAAAGCAAGCTAAAGAAGTAAAATTGCTTCATAATTATTTTTCCACTGGACCATTTATAACCTTTGGCACATCTAAATATAGGCTTACTTGAGGCATTAAATCATTTTACAGTATCTTTTTTCAAAGTTTCGCTAAATAAACTCAGAATGACGGCTCCTGCATCTTTTAATTTTACAATGAGGGCTCACCTTGTAAAATTATAAAATTATAAAGAATGCATATTAAACCTCACTGGAAAGTGTGGGCAGAAACAAGGGAGAGAGAGGAAAAAGTAAGAAAGATAAAGAAAATCTTACTTTTGCTGTTTTACTCCCATTCACTGAAAAAGAGGAAATGTAATCAAACAAGGGTTCCTGGCACTCGTGAAGGTTGCAAGAAAGGGAAGGCCAATAGTTCATCTGAAGATTAATGTTCAAGTGAGGGGCACAACTGAAATTTAAAATTAAATAATTAGAGGCTATTTATCGAAATAAATCTTTATGTAACCATTAAAAAGTAGAGGTCATATTAGTGGTAATAACTTCTGTAGAAGTACTATTACCCGAGCTATCAACCTAATCATACAATGGTTCCTTCAATTTACAAAATTATAAAGAAAGTTCAGCATAATAATATCCCCACTATTAGAACAGTTCACTGTTGCTATATTATCCTGCTCACTCTCCTAAATCCCTCTACGAACCCTAACTTCTACAAGGCCTACTAATAAAACTCATTTGCATAAAATTAAAAGAAAATCACAAGAACTGAATATTTCAAGACATCCAGAAAGTATTTTGGAAGCAGACAAAAGACAAGAGTGATCGACTTAAAATTTGTTAAAATGCAAGATCATCTTTGTAGAGTCTCCACACATCAAATGAGATAATTTACTACCATTGAAACCACACAACTACACCTTCAAAATATGTACAAGGAAAAAAGTAGTGATATAGTAAGGGGCAATGCAAGGATTAGGCAAACACATCTAGCAAACACCAAAACTAAATGCTTATGAAGAGAATAGGTAGGAAAAAAATATAACATAGAGAAGAGTGGAGAATGCAGAACATACTCCCATGCTGGCTCAATGTCCTTGCTCCATATACCCTGCAGGTTTGAAGCTTGAGTTCCAGGCCGTGAACAAGAAATAAGCAAATATCGACCATATTGGAATAAAAGCTCCACCAAGCCAGGATCTTCATCAGTCTTAAAAGATTTCACCCTCTCTGCTGTTGAAGCTATATCAATTTTACTTCCCTCTAGATGCATGTCAAATGTAGATAATGCATGACTTTTTCTTTCCAGAGAACCATCTCGATGTAAGCTCTTGGAACTTTTTGAAAGCTGCAGTGAGACACGATGAAAAAGATTCTGATAGTCATCCAAATGACGTGCATAAAGATCAGAATACGAAAATTTTCTAATTGACTGCAATGCTCTGAGAGAATCTGATGTAGGATCCTTCTTAGAATCTGAAGGCTTAGTGAATGGACCGTCAAATGAAGAGAAAGCCACCAGAAGCATCACAACCCAATCACAGCCTTCTACCTTAAACTTCTTGTCATCCAACACCTGTATCATGCCTCTGCTGTCACTAATCTGTACATCAAGAATTGCAGAAAATTGAACACCTTTGGGATTGTCATTCACTGTCAAATGTGGAGCGATCCTTTTACCAGGACAGCTTCCCTGCAGAAGAATCTGATTTTTTCCATTTGCTTGTGAGTGATGATGCAATTTGCTATCAAGAGACACGGTAAATGACAAAGAACCAGGTTTGCTTCCAGAAAGCTTTGTGACAATCATTTGATCAGGACTAGAAGCAAAATGTTCCCTGGTAAACTCAACATCACCCACAGAATAACTTATTCTAGCGGTAGCACTGTCTAAGTCTAACTCTCTACGATAAGTGTCTTCCGCATATTTAAGATGGGAATTATCAAATTCTATCTTGATATCACCAAGAGGTTGGTAAACCTTCATAATCACAAGAAAATCATCAGAACATGATTGAATATTTATGCAAAAAATAATTATATTCACTGTTCAAATTATCTAGAAGTTCATTAAATTCCAAATGAGGATAGAAACCAAGAAAGCTGAGGACCCAAAAGAAGTCATATGTCAAGAACAAAACTTAAAACAAACCAAGCCCCAAGGCATGAGGCATGTCTGTTAAACATTGCCAAGGCAAAACAACTGCAAAGAGCTAAAGATGCTTGACGAGGAGCAGGAGCAAGGTCAAGCACTGACCATTTAGTGAAAAATAATATGCAGGTCACTGTTAGATATGTCCAACCTTTAACAATAGGCTGAATTGTATAATCAAGCGTCAAGTCATGCGTCTCAATGCACTGAAGCTATCACATATTATATGTACAGACTGTATGACAGAGCAGAGTGTCCATCCAATGTAATCTCATGAAATCGGGAACACTCTTATTGTGGAATATTTTCTGCCTGTTTTAGAACTGTCTTAACAATTTGCTAATGCAAAAATATTGAACAATCCTGAATTTCATAAATTGGTGGAACTCATACAATTATTGAATCCTAACCACTCCTTTAGTCTTCAACAACCTTATCCACAAGATATAACATTTTATGATGAGAATGTGCTCAGATAAGTAACTGCTCAAGTGGAAATTCAGTAACACTTCAAACATAACGACATACTTGCAATCTTCCACAATTTTAAAGAGAACCAATTATAAAATTGTTTCATGTGTGCACGCCTAATGTAATAAGAATGCTTTATGGAAAACAGAGTAACATACATCAGAAGGACCATCTGACAACTTGACTGCTGCAGCAGTGGCTTCAGGATACTTGCCACTGTCAACAAGTTTCCTGACCTCGGAGAGTGCCTCTGGAGCTTTGGGGTTTGTATAGTTACCTGGAGTACCAGTCCAGAGTGTATCCTCTGCAAATAAATTCAAATCTCAACATAAGACAGATTATGAGAAAAGTTAGCAAATTGTCATGTAAAACCCATTGCAGCATAGAAAACATGAAGTTTCAATTATGTTAGCCTGTCTTTCATTTATTGCCAAATATATAAATATGGACATCAAGAAAATTAAAAATACAAACACGTAATTTTCACCATCTAGAACCAGAAACTAAAATCAAAATTATCCTATCCAAATATAGAAACTTTTCCTAATTGTGATGAAATTTCACTATTTTGAAAACACAACAGTCATTTTAGAAACCAGAGACAAGGTCAAGCTAACCCCACTAGAGCAGAACAAGCGATAGCATTCCTACCATTATTATTAGAAAAATAATAAGCCACCAATCCAAACATTTGAAGCAGTTTAAATGACTCTTTGCCATCTACTTGATTAAAAATACAGAAAAATAAATTAAATAAAAATATTCAATCTTTAATTTCTCACATTCTGTTTCTTTAACAATAAAGTGATAATGAACTAAATCAACGTTACTAATACTCTCAAGGTGTGTTCTTCACTGAAAATAAAAACAAGAACAACAGAAGGCATGACGAAGCCAAAGTTTTGTTCAACAACGCAAACGAAGATAACTTTACTTTACCATTAAGTTGAAGAGTCTCTGAAGCAACGCCACCCCACACCATGGCTCCAAGCCTTCCATTACCAATCGGAATCGCATCGGTCCAATGCTTGGCTGGCCCACTAAACGTAACCTTCAACGGCTTAGAACTCTCTCCTCCATCTCCAACACTCGGGTTCCACAAATCTCTCTCTGTGGCTCGCCGCACCAGAACCCACTCTCCCTCCTCCTCCATCGCTAAACAAAAACACCCACCACCAAAATGTTAAACCAAACCCAGAGAAAAAAGGAAAAAAGGTGCCCAGAAAGCGTAAAGCTCTTTATCTTTCTGGTACTTGACGAAAATGAAGCAAAGTAAAGTGAACAAAAAGAGGGTGTGTAGTGTGGGTCAGTAGGACACGTTGCATTGAATTAGATTGCCTGCAGAGTGGAAATTGTGAGGACCCACGTTACCTGGCATTTGATTTTTATTTCCGTGGCTTTTCTGAATTTAGAAAGATATCGCTTCAGTTTCGGACTCGCTAAAGTTGAGAGTTGAGAGGAGGGTGAGGGTGAGGGTGAGGATGAGGGAAAGCTAATTGAAGTAAAGTACGTGACAGCTGACAAGAATATCGTCACGAGATTGCCGAGATTAACTTGTCGTGTTTTCACTGTTGGTTGCGCCTCCTTGATCGCAGTGGACCACCATTTGCTCACGTAATCTATACGATGGCAATCACTTTTTTATAATATCACATTATTTGCGTAAGTTAATCCAATCACACCAATCATAAAAAAATAATAATAATAAATGAGGTAGGCGAAATGTTTATAGATGTCATATGTATGATTCCATATCTGAAGGCAAAAAATCCGGGGCGTAGATTTTCGATGCCCATTCCCGGAGCGGCAAGAATACTGCTACTTAAACTAGATTGTGATTCGGTTTTTATTCGTTTAATTTATTCAAATTTAACTTTATCTTATTTTATTTAGATTCTGCACGGGTGAATTCTGAACACCTGAACCTTTCACGTGAAATTTATCTAATACATTGGGAATGAAATTTGGTATTCTTTGGTTTCAACATTTATTTATGGTTATGGTCATTCGAAGACATATTAGATTGAATTAGATATTTGTGAAATTAGATAAAAATACTTAACATTAGAAAAATTTTAATATTTATTTTGAAATTATAAAATCATATATACCATTTTCATCATCTTGATTTTAATAATAATTTTTAAATTATTTATATAAATAATTATGATTCTTATATAGTAATTAATTATAAAAAACTTGAATGGGAGATATGTTAATTATTAAAGTTTTAATTATAATTACGATATAATATTTTAAATAAACAATAACATTAGAATATTATTTAAATTTTTTACGTTCCTTGTGAATTGTTCATCTTTTTTAATCTAATAGTGATAACGGAAAAGTTAAAGATAATTATATTTAATGTTAACTCAATATCTCTTATCACCAGTAGATTAGTAATACTAAACTGTTTACTACATCAAGAAATGTCAAAAAATTAAGTAAAAAATAGAAGATATGGTATCTCGACTAGATTTTCATACTATGAGCAAAAATATTTATTGTTATTCAATATAATATTTATAAAATTAAATTAAATATAATATAATAAAATTAGTTAAATTATTTTAATGAAATTATTTTTTTAAAATATAAATTATTTAGAAAATATTATCAGCTACAATATTATTAATAATAATATTTGAAAATAATTATAATATTTCTATAATAAAATAATATTTATAAATTTAAGTTTAAATTAATAATTTGTTTAATAGAATAAAAAGAGGAAAAAAAAAAAAGTTTATCCCAACTTGGGCCAATGGGATTACTTATCCCAATCATTTGGGATTATAGAGGGCCATGGGATTGGATCTCCTAAAAATGCAACCAAACATGAGATTGGACTATTTAAAAAAAAAAAAAAAAAAATACAGAGAGAGGGTAAACGACATGCTCCCAACCAATGTTTAGGGAAATGGACAGTTCCATTGGTTTCAGATTCTCCTTTAAATTAACATCAATTTTTGGATTTTTTACACGGTATAGAGAGCTTTATTACCAAATTGCCCTTAAAAATAACTTAATAAATTCTTTAACCCCTAAATTAGTATAATTAGTAAAATAATCATTTTACTTTCAAATTTATTTCAATAACACCCTCTTTTACAACCACCCAGCCACTGTCACACCACCACCTAGCCATTGCCGCCACTGTCACCACCGCCACCCAACCACTATCACTATCCAACCAAATTAGGAAAATTTCAGTAGTTGTCACCACCGCCACCCAACCACTATCACCATCCAACCAAATTAAGAAAATTTCAGTAGTTGTCACCAACCCTCAAAACAGAAACAATATTCAATATTAAATCTTCTCTTTTGCATTTCGTCTATTCCTCTTCATCAACTCACCACAACCTGAAACGGTTTCCTTCTCTCATCCTTGATACCACTCAAACTCTCTCCAACATGGCGGCTAAATATCTACTGCATTCGTCTATTTCACCAAAGCGATCTTGTTTCTTCAACTCTCAATCAAATTTTATCAACTTTAAAACATCCCAGTTGGGGTGTGAGCCAAGAAACCTTACAACATCTGGGGGCGTCAAATGGAGAGAAAATATGTCCTGCCTGCTTCAACATCCTGTAAACCAAAGCAAATCTCCATCAATTGTACGGATCATTTAATACTTGACAGCCTAAACAATTGACTGAACTCGCTCAAATGGATCCAAATCAACACAAAATCCCAACCTATCTGGCTTATTGCACCAGATCTGGCCAACTGTAGCCCCCACCATCCCTAGTCTGCCGCCTACCTCCAATGGCTGCACCGACCGCGTCTTCCTGGTTTCCACCGCGTTTGCATCGCCAGACTTCGCGATCGATCAATCTCGCAACTGCATCGCGACAAGCTCACGGTGTCTTTCAGATTTTGGCGATTGGTGTTGTCGCGACTTTGTTAGGTATTGTTGCTCGTTGCTTCGCGTCGTTGCCTGCAATCGACTGTTTCAATTCGATGTCGTGCCCTTGACTTCTCTTTGCGTCGCCTGTTTCTCGCCGGATGCCCGCCTGATTGCTCCCTGACGCCGAGAGAGTTCTCTCGCTGGAGGATTAAAGATGAGAGTGATGTGGACAATAACCGCGTTAATCATGGCTTCCGATTTGGCTAGATCAGGTAATGGAGGGAGAGAGGAGCGCGACTGCTGGTTAGGGAGAGAAATGGGAGGTTGTGGCTGAGGGAGTGAGAGAGAAGCGGCAGAAGAGAAGTAGTAGTCTTAGAGAGAGGGTTTTTGTGAGAGAAATTTGAGACGTGAGGTTATTTTAAAATTTTTATTTTTATTTCAGTTTTAATGTAGTTCAAATGGCCGTTTATCTTCGTCGTTACATAAAAAGATTTTCTGTTAATTTAAAGATGAATATCTAAAAATAAGGGTAAAAACTTGTTATTTTGTAAATTTTGGTTAAAAACATGTCGTTTACTCATAAAAAAATAATTACAACTTCTCCTATGATATTATTAATTACAATTTTCTCTTATGTTTAATTTACTACTCTATTGGAGTTTCGTTGTTTGGTAAACATATTTTTGGTAATTATTAAATTTACGGTAAAACTTTAACAATAGAGGATTATGTATTTTTGATACCTAAAGAAGGAATTTTTTTCATGATATAGATACCTTAGTTCTAATCCGAGTTTAAAAAAAAAAAAAAAAAAAAAATCAAATCAAATATAATTTCATAACAGGTAATCGTAGAGTACATGTAAAATTCTCAACAGTTGATCATGAACCCTTTTTTTTTTTTTAAAGAAAGAAAATTGGCTTGAAATTACGTCCAAGTTTAAACAGTGTGTGAAATAGAGTATCCGCTACGGATATGTTGGTATTTTTCTATTGTTTACAGTTGGGCCCTCATAGAACAGACTACAGAGGTGCCCATTTATTTTGGGCTTAACACGAAGTATGTGTCTTTGAATGATTTTCAAGGCAACAGTAACTTGATGGCTTTTATCTTATTTTAATCAATTTTGTGATTAATATTCTTTTTCTTTTTTGATATTTTTTTTTTCGATAAACTAACATTATTTTACTAAGCAAACGACATGTTTCCACCCAAGGTATAGGGAAATGACATTTCACCCTAATTCATTTATTCCAAATTTCCACTATTAATTAAACATAGTCAATGATTGTTCAACTAAGGATGGGAAAATGGAAAACTGATTGAGCCTTATCAAGCAGGTGGTAGGCGTGAATTTGGGCTTCGATTTTGGGAACGGGAAGTTAGAAATGGCCAAAAAAACATACTCACACAACAACAACACAAGGAGAGTTTGTGGTGTAGTTCGATGACATCGGTTGCTCTTCAATTGAACAGAAAATGACCGAGAATATACCCAAAATCGCAAGGTGACAAGTGTGGGATGGCCGGAAAAGCGAGTGATGACAGCAAGTGGGGGTATGGGTTTTGGAGAGGAGGTCGTAGGGAGTCTAATGGTGGGCTCGGAAATTATTTTGGAGTTCGGGATCGGTCAAAAAATGCCAAAAACTAGCTGTTTGGGTGATGCTAACGTGAGCACTTCTGCTAAATGAGCCCACTTTCAATTAAAGAAGCACCACGCATATAACGTGCCAACGTGAGCCTCACTATAGTGAAATGTTAAAATTAAGGAAATAGTGAATTTAATGGTGAGAATCTGAATTTATGAAACCAAGGTAGGAACTTGCCGTTTCACTAAACCTAGGTGGTGTAACGCCCCACTTGAGGTATGTAGTTAAATTATTGTTGCATTACTTGAATGTTTATTGATTTGTTCTCATTTGAGTTTGCATGTTGTTATTTGGTTGATTGGCCCTTAGTTGAATTTTGTTAAAGTTATTTTGAGAAAAATATGAAGAAAATCCCTTCAACTTCATTAGGGGTAAAATGTATTTTTACTCAAAATTAGTGAAAAATTGGGAGTGAAAAGAGATAGAATTTTATAGGAGTAATAAAAATAGGGCATTATTGTAATTGACTAAGGGACATAGATGAAATTCTAAGAAAGACAAGGGCAAAAGGGAATTGTTATGTAAGTTGAGCTGAAAAGGGTTTAAGTGTTGAAAGCCCTTCTTCTTCACCACTCCACCGCCATTCTCATTCCCTAATTTCTCTCAATCTCCACTCCATCTTCCAAGTTTCTAAGGATTTTTGAGGTAGTTTTTAGTAGAGATTTAATCTAAAGCATCCTAAGGTAAGGATTCTTGCTTTAGATGAGAATTTGCTTATGATTTGTTAAAGTCTTATGTTGTTATTGTTTAAAGTTGTAGATAGAAGACAAGATACAAAAGGGAAGGAGAAGTGCTAGAGAAGTCATTTACCCATAAGGTAAGTAAATCCAATCAAGTTAAGATTTAAGAAAATCAGTGAGTAGAGATTTCTTTAATGTATGTGTGTATGATTATTGAGAAATTGAGATGAGATGATGATGAATATGTTTGTGTTGGATATTTTGAATTATGAGAAGTGCTTTTGATTGTATGTGATGGGTTGAAGTTTGATTGAAGTTGAAAGAAGTTTGAGTAAACTTT